TAAGTTTGGGACTGATCGTCATGGAGAAAATCTACCTACTTTTGTATTATCTATAAGCAAACAGGCACTTTCAATATATGCATGTTCACATTTTTCACAATATAATGTATAAAAATTAATTCTTATGCTTTTAATAACATTACACTGCTTTTGATAAAAAATAAATGTTATTAAAAGCATAAGAATTATGTAGAAAATTATGAGTTGTGTGACTTGCTTATTCTGCTGTCCAAATGGTGGTTGGACAGTTTTCAAAGTTCCAATTTTCCTTTCTTTGTTTACCTACAATCTGGTCTTAAACTAAATTATTCTTCAGAGGATGCTTCCAAAATAGAGAAATATCAGAAAGCAGGAGATGACAATCCTATATTTTAATGTTATTATTTTTTGTTGTTATCCCAGTATTTTCAGTTGATGACCGTTGATAGTGTTTGTTGTCAGAAAAATACAATTTCAGGAAATCCGATTTTTGTTGACTACATAATGGGGAACGACTGATTGAAATTAGGTATCCTACAATTTGCGAGCATAAATATTTTCTGGAGTTGCAAGTTATTGTATAAAAACATTCAGTGACTTCAGTGACACTGGATAATTAGGAAACATGCTGCATTGCATCATCATGTAATTAGGCAATGTGGTAATTCCAATCCAGGAGGAAAATCTTACCATGTTTCCCTGAAAATAAGATCAAGTTTTATTTTTGTTTTTGCCTCCAAAAGAGGCACCAGGTCTTATTTTTGGGGTAGGCTTTACCTCACCTCCGGCACTGACAGCCCCACCCAGCTGGTCCACTTCTGGGGCCGAAGTTCTGCAGCTGCATTTTGCAGTCAGGTCTAAGCAGCTGTGGATTCAATCCATAGCTTGGTGCTCAGCTGCTGAGGTCTTGCAGAACCGAGCTATGGATTCAATCCATAACTCAGTTCTTGGCTGCACAGGCCTTCTGGAAAGCCCTATGACGGAGAAATGCAGGCCTGGCTGCAGAAGAGGCCTGAGAAGAAGAAGTGGGCTGGCAAGGAGAGGCCTGGCTGCAGGATAAGTGGGTGTGGGGCGGGTGAGGCAGCTCCACCCCATCCCCACTTTAGCTTGATTTTTAGATGTGTGCCTCGCCCCAAAACTAGGGCTTATTTTTGGGATAGGCTTATACTAGCCCCCCCCCCCAATCAAGCTAGGGCTTATTGTTGGTGTAGGCCTTACTTTTGGGGAAACACGGTAGATGTAAGCAGATCTAGAACTTTTAGCAGGGAACAAAATCAGAAACAGCTAGAAAGTGCCAAAGTTTAAGAATCTGTTTACAAATCTGTTTGGCATAGGTAAAAATATTTCCATAACACACACACACACACACACCACACACAGGTCATTACAACTGAAGAATCTTTGTAGACTTCACTCTTACACACATTTATTCAGAAGTATCTCACTGATATTATACTGTTGTTTTTCAATTCCATGTTTTTCAAAACAGTCTTTTAAAATAATGATTGTAGTTCTACATAGAGTTAGAAGAATCTCAGTTGATTATGACTGATTATGTCTGATTAACAACCATGAAGTTGTTCTACCCAAAAGTAGAATCTAGATTAGAAGAGGTTATATAGCTCCTCTTCTCATTTTGCATCCCCCTAGAATACTGTCAACATTGGCAAAATGGCTGATTTTGGAGAATATGATTGTTAGCTATAAAAGTAAAGATAGAAACAGACATTAAACCTTTATTAAGCAAGCTACCTATTTTCACCTTTTAAACCTTCCTAATCATTTCCCATAAACAGTAAGCTCATTTGATTTACACTGGTTTATGGGATTAGCCTATTTATTACTTTTTCATAAAAGAACATTTCCAGTAGTCTCCACAACAGTAGCGATGTCACACATGCAGCTGCATTCACACTAATAACATTGCATCCCATTGCACCCCAACATCTGACATTAGCATATCAAAGCATCATTTTTGTAATACATGTCATTTGCTCCATACCTATGGATAGGTGATAAAATGTTTCCACATGGTACTTTTCTATAGATGCTAGTATTTTGAAGAATCCAGGACAAAATAAGGAAGCACTGTAATAAAAAAAATGTATATAAGACAAAATTGCTAACAAGATCATACATCCAAAAAAACTGTTTTTCTATCTAGACATTTTCACTGGAATTTTATCTTCTTAAAGTTTTAATCATCGAATTGTATTAGACTAAAACAATTATTACCATCAGTCATCTCAGCATATCTGGAAAGCAGGAACTGTATCTAAATTACAATTAGGCAGGTGTCAAATGGCCATGCCTGTAACAGTTTTTCATTTTCACTCAGTAACACATAGATGCAGTGTTCCACTATTAATCATTAAGCCAGTAATTGATTGATGCTTTGTATATTATAACATATACAAGCTCAAATAATAATTCTGATCATATGTTTGGTTCAGCAGATAATTGGAAGTTCAACCAATCCATTCAATTTTGGTTTACAGTTCCATCTGAATGTCCATGTAATTGGTTTATTTTTCCTTACTGCTTTTGGTATTGATTGTAATCATCTTTTTGTGACTCTTACTGTGCTTTGGAACATTCATTTTTCAAAGCAGTCATACTAATGAAAAGTATCTGGCAAGGAGGATAGATTCCATTTTATACTGATACTGCTACTGTTCTAGATTACTTCAGGGTTGGCCAGCCAAAGATGCACAAAAAATCTTTGATCATATCTGTCATTCTTTGAATGACTATGGTGAGGAGGAGCGACCTAGGATCACTTCTTTTAAACACTGCCAGAAACATCTCAGAAGATACGTTAGAATTACTAATAGTATGAAAACGTAGTTATAGAAGCAGGTTTTCAGTTAAAAATTAGCATTCTATGAGAAGTGTTTGTTTTACATTTTAGAACACAATCTTATGAAAGAACTATTCTGTTTCTGAGGAACATTAGGAGAAGAAGAGTTGTTCATTTTCTTTAAGCATAATGTTATTTAAAATTATACTCTGAATAATCATTAATATTTTGAAGATAAGTGTCATAATGGGTTTTTTTAAAATTCCTGAGTGGAATTTGAAAAAAGGGTTAAATACGTAAATTTCTTTTATATCTGGAATGGGACAACTCACTATGGCCAACTTCCTGCAGGACAGTTTGCCACAACTCAACAAATACAAAACTTAACAGATCTGTGGCCAGTAATAATAAAATAAAGTTACAATAATTTTGATGAAAATGTGATCATCAATAGTAAAAGTAACTGAATGAAATGATTAATAAAGCACTGAATTGTCCTGCAGCAAATTGTTCGGTGGAGAGTTGGCTGCAGTGAGTTGTCCCATGGTAAGTTTGCCACGGCAAGTTGTTCTAGAATCTAGAGCCTCTATATTGCATTCATGGATTTTTCAATACTTCAAAAAATAAATCTCTGAAAAGATACTCTTCAGTTTGAAATGTGAGATTCTTTTTTTTCTAAGTATAAAAAAGAATATTGCCATGGGTTCAACTAGCTTCAGATTTAATCATTCTGTGAAATTGGACTTCTTAGAAGTGTGAAAGTTTGTTTCAATGTGAATAGCACCTACACAAATTGTGCCTGGAAAGCTGCATACGTAACATTAATGAGAGTGAAAAAAGAGCTTAAATTAGGCAACTATACATTAAAAAAACATTGACTGTAGGAACAAAGAATAAAAAGATAAATTGAGTAAAAAAAACCCTGTTATATGGTTATAAAAGCAAGAGGGAAATATACTCAAAAGTCCCCAAAGTTCTGAGACATTAAGCATTGTAAGTAATCAGAGAACCAAGTGTTATGAGATTGTGCGAATATTATAAGAATAATATTCTGAAGGACATGGATAGTTTGAAAAAGAGATGTAATATTTCATATAGATACATACAGAACAAGTACTAACAACTATATGTTGAAAATAAAGTTACTGTTCCTAGTGTATAAATTATTATAACAAAACTCTAAAGCAGCTTTTCCTAGGCTCATGTTTTTCAAATATGTTGGGATTACAGCTTACAGAATTCTTATGCCTGTTCTTCATTCTGGCTAGGACTAGGTTATTCTTTGATTTGTATTCATAACATATATGTGGACATTAGGACATCTTGTATATAAACATTGAGCAGATTCAACGATAGGGAAAACAACACCAAAAAAGATGGAAAGAAAAGATCTAAAATTTAAATCCTGGGAGGGAGAGATGGATGGATGGATGGATGGATGGATGGATGATAGATGAATAAATGATAGATGGATGCATGGAACAAGTGATGGGTGGATAGGTGGATGTGTAGGATGGTGAGAGAAGCAGACCGATTTGTGTGTTCTATGATAGGCATATCTGTGCATGTATTTTTTTTGTCTGCCGTGTCATATTTGGAAGCTTCTGCTGTAAGCAAATTCCTAAATACTGTACAGGGTTGATTGTTTTCATTATCAAGATTTATTTGTATGTCTGGTGTAAAGTCAGTTAGCAAGATTTGCCTGTTTCTATTCATAATACTAAGGGAAGAAATGCTATACTTCAACAGCTTTCATAATGATTACAGATCCCATTAAGTATACATTATATCACCTGTGCCTTTTCAGGACCAGGTTACCACCCATATGGACCAGGTAGTTCAGCAAGTGGGGCAGAATCTACCACAATCAGCAGTCCCTTTACCAATTCTGGTCCAAGATTCGTCAGCTGTTGGAACAGCAACTTTCTGATGCTGTGTGCCCATCTTCTCCTACCTGGCAAATATGATCGGAATCCTGGCAAATTTGCTACCTTCCTGAATTATAAATCTCTATAAACTTAAAGATTTTTCCATGGATCAGTCTCACATATCATATGTAATTAGTCTAATAATGAAACAAAACTGCAAAATAGCCATAGTCAGTGCTTTTTTTCTAAAAAAAAAAAAAAGTGCCGGAACTCACACACGTCATACAACCCGCCTTGCCTACCCTACAAGGTTCCATCCAAAAAAGGTGCTGGAACTCTGTTCTGGGCATTCTATGAGAAAAAAAGCCCTGGCCATAGTTGAAAAATTGGCAACTCCCTTTCTGGTACAGAACAGCACAGGCTTGGACAACTGCATCAATGTTATGACACTGATAAAGTCTAACTTCAATGATTCAATTACACAAGTGACCCCTAGTTGTGGAAACTATAATCTCCAACAGGGTAAGTGCCAGGTGAGAGAATACCATTGAATTTCTGCTGTTAACTCAGGATTAACTACAATGAAAGAACCTTAACAGACCATTTAAAAGAGGAATTATCAGATGAAATATGAAATTAACTCATTCATCAGGGCATTTGAAGATTTCTAGATCTGCTTGGCTATTGATGGGAGACTTAGGAAGTTGTGATAAAAGCACAAGAGGGCAAGGGAAGATGTCATTGTTCCTCTTACTGTGTTTCCTCCATCACCCCCACTCACATATGTACACCAGAGATTTGGGAAGTTGAACCCATGTACCTGAGAACTGAGTTTCAGTATCTGTCTGAGAAAACTGACATTGACCCACAAAAGGCTTACATTTTTATTATAAAGAATCTCACCATATAATGCCGTCCTAAAGCCCCCTTCCTTCCAGAGCATCAATAGAAGAATGTATTGGGTTCAAACGAATAATCCACATATTCATTAGGATAATAGAACCCTTGATTCTTTATCACACAAAGTTCACAGCCTGCAAGTTCTCAAATACCTATGCGATCCACAATAGTCTTGCTTAGCAAGAAAAGGAAAGAGAAAAGTGTAACACTCCCCCCCATTTGTTCTCATTCTTGAAAATCAGAGTCCCATGAAATGCCACAATTTGATATCAAATATAAAGATAGTTTGCGTAAAAGTATTTATTGATGAGAATTTACAGAAATTTGCCCATCTTCCTCCTTTCTTCCCCTCCAGTGTTTATATCATTTTTATTAATAAGAAGGATAGCTCCCCATATATTTGTCTTTGATTATTGGCCTTGAACTCCATAAAAATTAAGGATAATTATCGTCTTTACCTTGTTTGTTGAAGAACGTTAACATTTTAACCCGAGATAAAATTTAACTGATTTTTATTCTTATTATCTGAACAGCCAGACAGAATTCCGTATATGAAGTGGTCGGCTACATAAATTGAACAAAAAATAAATACACAGCAATGTTGTATGGATTTGTTAAATGTACCTTCGTTCTTCATGCAATTTATGACCAATTTTCATAAATTTTGGGTGACTTTGAATTGTGTAGTTGGACAATTTGCTCATTGATTCTGAGAATTTTGCTGTCAATACTGGAACATTCAGGTAATTTTTCAGTGGCTTTGTGATTATAGTCTCTAGTATAAATTAAAGGCTTTGACCTACCTGTGCTGGATTATTTGGGCAACTATAGTTCCTCCGAACGAATCCAGATGGATCTGGCTAAAGTAGAGCTCATTATACTTTGAAAGAAAATGTCTCTTGGCTGTCAAGATCAAGAAGTCATCAAAAGGTTCATTGATTAGAATAAAAGGGAGGAAAAAACCTAGAATTTAAACCAGGAGCAATGTGCGTGTGGGGGGGGGGCGCTGTTCGTGTGCATGATCTATGACATAATTTTGTTTTCTGTAACATGTAAATTATATGTATATTGCTTCTTGTTTACAATAAAACAACTTCTTTAACTATATCATATCTGTAAGGCTTCTCTTATGCCAGATTTCTTAATATAGGGTTAAGTATCTGGAATATCAAGATTTATTACTGTGTTTATTGTGAATTCCAGGACAAGAATATTCTGAAGTTGATAAGAATTCTGTTTGTTCATACTTCATGTTACACATTTTATTACCATAGAATTACCATGTTATATTGTGTTAAACTGTAACACAATATATAACTATATAAACTAACATTAATTGATACATTTAATATTTACTGTACTTAGTTACTTTGTAATTAAGTATATTTGAGTCCATGAGCCTTACTATGTGAATAACATGGATAGAATTTAAAATGAAGTATATCCACCTTGGTTTTTCACAGATGGTACTAGACAGGAAGAAGCCGAAGAGGAGCTTAGTGAGGAAGAGCCTTGGTTTGGGAACTCTTCAGAAACCCCATCAGAAGCATCTTATGGAGAAATCCAGGAGAACTTCAAATTATCCTTTGAGGATAGGATCCAAGAACAATCCACATCTCCAGATACTTCTTTGGGTAGCGGGACTCCTAGCAGCAACACATTGGAATTGGTGGTTGTTGAGAATGAGGGCATGAGAGATGTATTACAGAACAAGGAACATCTCTCTTCTAGCGTATCTTCTATCTGTGATGATGATAATAATCCTGGCCCAAACAAGCCGTTGAGTAGTAACTTGAGACGTCTGTTGGAGGCTGGTTCTCTCAAGCTAGACACTACTATCACGGTTAATGGCCGGGTTGAGTCCCCAGTAAATCTTGGCTCAAATATCTCTTTTTCTCCAGCTACACATCATGCCCAGCAGCTAAGTGTCCTTGCAAGAAAGCTAGCTGAAAAACAGGAACAAAACGATCAGTATGGCCCAAACACAGGTTTCATATGGAATCAAGGCAAATGGTTGCCTAACTCAATGCCCTCTTGCAGCTTGTCTCCAGATTCAGCAATTCTAAAATTGAAAGCCGCTGCCAATGCAGTCCTTCAGGACAAGTCTCTTTCTCGAACTGAAGATCCAACAATAAGGTTTGAAACCTTCCCTTCACCATTTAGTTCTCAATCAGCAAGCTCCACCTTAGCTGCATTATCAAAGAAGGTCAGTGAAAGAAGCATGACTCCTGGTCAGGACCACTCACCGCCAGCAAATTCTTTCCTTTCTCTCACCTCAATGACTTCTTCAGCAGCCCTACTCAAGGAGGTGGCTGCAAGAGCTGCAGGCAGCCTTTTGGCTGAAAAGAAAAAGTCACTGATTGTAGAACCTCCCTTGCAGCTTTCAGACATGAAGCAAGAGAAAGTGACTCCACCACAGTCTTTGGAACTATTGTTACTCCCAGCCCCTAAAGGAAGAACTTCTAAAACCACAAATTCAGGTAGGAGTTCTCGTTTTGCTCTAGATTCTTTATACTGCTTTATCTCTGTATCATTTGCATTACAGCTAAATAGAAGACAGCAAAAATGTTGTATTCACAGCGGTCCGCCATCTAGATGCCTGAACTATTGTTGCAAATATTTTTTCTGTTACGGACAAAAAAACCAACATATCTGGAAATACCTGCATGAAATTTAATAGGGGAAATCAAATAATTGTTTATGTTTTACAGTACATAAGATTATGTTTAATAATATTTGATAATATTGTGATGACAAGGAGACAATTTATCAAATTGTTTTGCTCTAACAACATATTTCTGTTTTACTTTCTTCACATTTACATGGTTTTCTACAATGCCTCTTGCATTGTGCCCAAAAGCATGCTGGCAATTCACAAAGCTTTTAAAACATACTAAGCCATTCCCATCACTGCCTGCCATACTGCATTTTTGACCATTTGTATCTTCCAAGTGGTCTTCAAGTACTCGTATGTAGAGCATATTGCCATGAGGTAACTAGAGTAATAGCTGTCTTAGCAGCCTTTCAATACAGAAAGGGCATAACTGCTACAAAAAAGGATGTTGTACAAAGGTTTCTTTTTATAAATTTTATTGAAAGGTTTTCACATAAATAAAAGTTAAGTAAGAACAAGTATATAAAAGAAAATTAAAAACAGATAAAGATAAAAGAAAAAAATGCTAAAAATGTTAAAAATTCTAAGAGAGATAAAAACGTTAAAGAAGCAGCTTCTGATCTTCTTTAACAGCAGTTATAAATAAATGTTCTATCATTTCCCTGCTTTAGAACTACATTAAATATTTCCATTTCCCCCCTATACAATTCATTTTAAATCCAGAAATCATCATTTCATTTTCTTTCCATTTTCAGCAAAAATGTCCATGAAAAGATTTCTAGTCTTTTATAAAAGTATTTATTGTTTTTGTAATCTAACAGGTCAACAGGCCTTTCTGCAAGTTCTGCATGTTCACAATCCACTTCTCCAATGTGGGTACTTCTATATTGTCCCTTCTTCGTACATATAGGAGCATGTAGCAGTTACCATATGTAAAACCAGTTGTCCATGAGTTCTTTCTATTTGTTTATCCATAAATCCTAATTAAAAAATCTGGTTTCATATGAATATTAATTTTTATAAATTTATTGCATCATTGTATGCATTTGTTTGTAGTACTTTTCACTTTTTCACATGTCCACCATGCATAATAAAATGTTCCTTCATGTTTTTCATATTTCCAAAGTAATTAGTCCCTTTATACATCTGAGACAATTTCTCTGGTGAGCTATACCAATTTCTCTGATGATCTGTATCTCTGGTCCATTATTTTATAAAAATTCTCTTTTAATTGTAGGACAGTGTGAATTTTAACTTTTTAACCACTTTCTCTCCCATTAAAACCAAAGTTCTTCCCCATTTTGTCATATACACTTTAACTTACCTGTGTTTCTCCCAAAATAAGACCGGGTCTTATATTAATTTTTGCTCCAAAAGACGCATTGGGGCTTATTTTCCATTTAGGTCTTATTTTTGGGGAAATATGGTACTAAATGCATCCATCTGGCTAACGATCTTAACTGTGGCTTATTTTGGGAGTAGGGCTTATATTACGAGCATCCTGAAAAATCATGCTAGGGCTCATTTTCCGGTCGGGTCTTATTTTCGGGGAAACACAATATTTTTTTCTGTTTCAAATCTCTACAAAAGTTTCTACTTTTTAGCAATCGTGTTCAACATTTGTACATAATTCACTTTCAAATTGTTTTATGATATTCTATTCTGGGCATTTTTAAATGTATATTAATCTTCCTCTTAATTGTACATGTGAAACCATTGACAATTAAATCCCTCTGTAATCAAGTATTCTCTGAATTTCCGCTTAAGTCCTCCATTTTCCTGTACTAACAAATCTTGATATATTAACTATTTTTCTTTGCCTGATGTCTCTGTAAAATAAAATACTTGTGCTGATGCCAATAGAAATATTTTTGGACAAAGATTGGGTCTGTATTCCACATTCTTAATGTCATGCTTCTAATAATGATTTTTGAAATCTACATTAACTTTGACTTTATCATACCATTTTTAAAAAATGCCACTCAAACCTCAGGTTATGCTCTTATAGTTCCAACATTCTCTTATTTCTCAACAATAGTCATTCTTTCATCCAAACTAAGCAGCAGGTGACAGAATACAAATCTAGATATACTGTATTTTTTTTTTTTGTCACTGCTGAAAATCTGCATCATTAGTCAAAACAGGTATTATTTGAAACAAACAAACAAACATCATTCTAGGTAGTATATTCATTTTTACCACAGAAACCTTTCTCAACTATGATAATTGTAACTTTTCCCATCTTGACATTTTTCTTAATTTTACTTCATGACATGTTTTTTGAAATTATATATAGTTCATGATTATCGTAGTAATATCTATATCTTGCATTTTTTCTCAGTCTTAAAGCTGTTTCTGTTTGATCTTCCATCTCATATTTTTTGTTAATATCTTTGTTGTTGGTTATTTTAAATCTAGCAAATGCATCAAATTCCTTTAGTTTTTCCAATAAGATTCTATTTTTCTTAACTGGTTTTCCAAAATTAAAACTAAATCATATGAAAGTGCCATTGGCTTATATGTTTCTCTCATCCAGCAATTTCACGTAGATGTTAAATGTGAAGAAACTGACAAACTCAGTAAAACTCTCCAAAGGAGAGGGCCCTTGAGGACTTTCCCTCTTTTCCTCCTCCATCAATAGTAACTGGAAGGAAGGAGAAGAATCACCATAAAACAGTAGCCTCAATTCCCAATCCCTGTAGCTGGTCCAGAAAGACACTGTGATAGACAGTACTGAAAACTGCTGAGAGATCAAGGAGCATAAGGATTAATACACCAGTCAACAAGGATAACAGAATCTGTATTCCTATTGAATCCTGCTTGCAACATGACTGAAATTCCAACCTTTTTCTCAACAACCTTCCCTAAAAGGAAAGTTGAATGAGGTTGTTCGATTGAAGTTTTTTGGGAAGGGAACTCCTTCAAAGTTTGAGGGCTCCATTCCTTCTCTCAAGGAGGCAGTACGGACTCAACTTGCAGGTCACCTCCCTTGCTGCCTTAATAACCCAGGAGGGACCTGGATTAAATAAACGAGCCAAGTGCAGAAAATCTTAGCAATAGCACCTAAACTTATATATTGCTCCATAGTGCTTTATAGCACTCTCTGAGCAGTTTACAGTGTTGACATATTGTCCCCAGCACTCTGGATTCTCATTTTACTGACCTCAGAAGGATGGAAGGCTAAGTCAACCTTGAGGCCTTCAGGATCAAACTCCAAACTGTGGGCAGAGTTATCCTGCAATACTGCATTCTAATCTCTGTGCCACCAGGGCTCTTGTCAACTTCCTCAAGAGTTACCAACTCAAACTCATCCCAGGTCACTCACGAGATGGAGTTGTTGGCATTCTAAGAGTGGTTCTAAGCAATTTTATTTGCTAGATAGTCAGAATATATCTCAAGCAGCCCTACAGATGACTCTCTGACCTGTCTTTCCCAGCAGGGACTGAGTAACCTAAAGAGGGCCACTGTATAGTTATCCCCAGATGCATTAAGGGTGGAGAAATATTTATCTTTTTCTGCCCTTATTGCTATGAGGTAATCCCAGATGTTTGATCACACTTGCTCCTAGTCTTCCTCCAGGGATGCTTGAGCATTTCTTTTGGTGCTTCATCTCCTGGAGCTCCTCAGTAAACCAACAGCCACCCAACCATTCCAAGCAGCAGCTAAGTGTTGGCTGAATTATCTTACATCTTCAGGAAATACCTTAAGTTCTTCTGGGTCCATCAGTTGTCTGGGGCAAGCCAATCAAATTGGCCTTATCTCAGACAGGTGAGGTGGGTGACACTATATCTTTAAACATGAGGTGCTGGCCAGTGCCTCAAATAGAAATATAGATCATGTTCATTGCAATTATGAATCATGGTATCATCATACTGAAGGGGGAAAACAGAATTTTGTAGAGTATGCTCCATAGAATCTATTTATCTCATTTTGCTCTGAATAATACTCCATTTTTTTAGTAGAAGGTAATACTGTTAGGAAGCAATGAATAAAATTGATAACCAGGAGACAAAATGTATGGAAAAAGCTGAACATATTCTAATGTCTTCTATAAAGTATGAATTTATTCCTCCTTCTTATGATTCAAATTGTTTTAACATCTAACATTAATATTGTTCCCACACAATTTTAGAAATATTGTTCACAATATTGCTATTGTGAAAAGGGAAAACTTTTAAGAAATTTCACCAGAATTTATTTTTTTAAAAGTAGTATGCTGTTTATGCAAAAAGAATGAATTTTGAGCATTGCCAGTTGATGTCTGGTCTGCTATACAAACATTTTAGTAACCAAAGCTTTTTTCCAAGTTTAGCCAAAAATGTTGCTCAAAGTGGATTGCCACAGACTTCTGGACACCCTGCATAAATCTTGGAAAGACATGTATGAAAGTAATAAAATCTGACATCCTGCAGTGAAATCTGATAATGCATATTGACAAGATAAAACAGTACCATCCATAATGTATAATATATGCAATGTTGTTTTTACCCTGTTTAGATGACTTTATATAGGCTAAAAATAATAGATAAAACAAAATATAATCAAACAGTGAGAAAAGAAGGTCAAGCAAAGCATATGGCATTCCAGATACTGTGAGATTCCCATAATCTCTTAGCATTTGTCATTCTAAAAAGGGCTAATGGAAATTCAAGAACTTCTGGAAGACTACGTTTTACTTGTACAAGAAGGAATATTTCTTGATCCATACGCTAAACATTAAGAATTGGAGTAGCTTTCATAGAAACACCATTGTTTTTGATGCAAACTGTCCACATTATGCTACTTGCACAAAGACCCAAACAGCTTTCAGAGAGAACAAGATTGTGTGCTTGGCCCCTTCCAAATTGTGCACTATTCCACCTGTTG